AACCGAGTGAGAGGTGAGTGAGGCGCAGTGGCTGCTAAAGCCGGTCAGGGACAGTGAGGTGGAACGGTGTGCTGGACGACAGTGCGTGCATACATCGGGGCTCCGCCCACTGTACCCATAGAGTCCAGTAGAGGGCGGAGCCTGTGAGAGATATAACGCCGGGTTACATATTGTAACCCTTGTTATATTAACACAGGCGGAACCCTCTACCTTGGGGCACTGTCTGTCCTATACCGCTCGCTGAAGAGTGGCGTAGGATGGTGGTCAGGAGGCGAGGCCTCCTTTTATACGAAAGTGAGATGCGCACGCATTCAGGTAGGCCCGCCCCGGGGCGGGCTACGTCTATAGAAATCTCAGTAGGTGAATGCTTGCATGATAAGGTAGTACCCATAGAGTCCAGTAGAGGGCTCCGCCTGTGTTAATATAACAAGGGTTACAATACGTAACCCGGCGTTACACCAATGACTAAAGAGGACATTTTCATGTACTCTTTATTGAACAGCTTCTAGATAATCAAAATGATATGGGGCATAGGGAAGACCACTGTGATGGGGAACCTATTGTGATTAGAGTAAAACGGAGAACTCTGCATATCCAGGCATCTTTAGTTCAGATCTGTTTCTCTGTGATCATTGGAAATAATATGAACAAATGCCAGTCACCTTGGTCTTCCTCCAGCTGTTATTCATTGGCTCTCATGCTTACACTTGTACAGTAGCATTAGCAGCCTCCCCTGCTGTTCATCACTGACCGAGCTGTAATTACACACGCATCCAGAGGAGACAAAAGGAAGCTCAGAAGAAGTCTGACCTTTTAGCCTTGTATGTGAATGTGTGTGTTTGATTACACCTGTGCAGCCTGCGTAGGAGTGCATCACGTGTGCGATAGAGATCAAGCAAGTACAAAACAAGTGAAAAGAAGCTTGGTCTTCCTTTTGAGCTGCTGTACTAAAAGTCCCTCACCACCCACTCTCTCTTTCTCTCCTTCCCTCTTTCTTCCTCACTACAAATCTTCCTCTCTTCCTGCTAACAAGTCTCTTTTCCCATATACTCCCTCTTCTCTGTCTCTCTGTTATTGCTGCTTCATTTGATCTCTGAATCGAGGCTAACATCACTAGGATCACTCTCATTTTGCCACTGATCAAAGACAGAAAATAAGGGAATCGTGTAGGTGAAACCAGAGAAAGAAGGAAATATGCCTAATCTCGGCAAATGCAAGTGGAGACCTCGGCTCTTGAGCAGAAAAGTTAGAAGAATTAATTTGATTTGTGTCTAAAAAGAAATGAAAAAGGGACAAAAACAGTTTAAAAAAAGCCTAATTAGCTTATTTTTCAGCCGGCTCTCTGTGGAGATTTTAATTATGATTTGGCATCAGCTGCCGTTTATTGGATGAAATGGACGTTGCTGATCAAGGCTCTGTTGGAAGGTGGTGGAGATGGAGGGAGATATAAGCAATGCAGAAAATGAGGGAAAGAGGGAGAGAGAGATTGTGGTGCTGATCAAACACATTTTCATTCACACCATGCTCGGCTACACGCTGACAAGCCACGCACACAAAGACCCGCGTTGGAAGCACAACCTTTTTGCTTGCTTCAGAATTTGCACTTAAAAAGTCAAAAGCCACAACATTTTAATGAAAATTGATTTTGCTGCTTTCTATTGTTAGTTTATGTAATTGGTCTAGCTTATGAAAGCTCTTCCATTTGCATCTCCAAACACTGAATGTCTGCTGGATGAATTATTAGATACACAGTAAGAACTTGGTCCTCGGTTTGCTGGTTTGTATGAAATAAATATGAGAAAATAAATGGTGGACTCAGCATTAGGATGGATATAAAGTTTCATACATTTAAAAAAAAATACAGGTTTACTGTATGTTCCTGCGGATCATCGTGGAGAAGGGTGTTGTTGTTGGTTGCATAAAGCAAATGTGTACACCTTGTGGAGTCCTGAGCTGATTGGCTTATACAACATCCAGAATGGAATCAATACAAACAAAGGTCCAACTGCAATGTTCAGTTCTAAAAAATGAAACAATTGTGAATACCAGAAACTGTAGTTTCCCAAATGGTCACTTGAGGCTTACACAAAAAGTATATAAAGTATGTGTATATAAATATACATAAACCATTTTTGGATTAGCCTATACACATTCATACAGAATAAACTAAACATGTTTACTACTATTAACACATGTGCATGTTCACTAACCTACATCTAAACATTAAGAAGAAAATGCAAAGAAATACAACAATGAAGTAGATGTGAAATGTAAAAGTTGCTGCTCATAGTGATGAACCCACAGAGAATGATCAGGGAATGAAGCAGTCACCATCAGCTCTATCAGGACTGAGTGTTGATAAATCCACTGTACACTATCTAACTACCAAACCATCAACAACATTGGATGAAAGGAGATGGTTAAGAACAAAACAGAGATGTAATCATCAGGTGGAAAACAAATAGTTGCAAACTGTGAATCAGATAATGTAGTTTTGACAATAAATCGCAGTTTATAGGGAACTGTTGTGTCACTTTATTGGTACAAATATAAAATGTGCTGTTATTTCAAGTTAAGGAGTTACAAACTATTGTAAAGTAAGCTACATAATTCCATTGTATCCTCAAGGCTATGAGTTCCATCAAAAATATGTAATGTGATATATGATCCCTTAAGCAATATTAATTCACTTTTATTTAGTTGAGTAATGGTAAATAAATACATGGTAGCATACCCTCCAGTCAGTGATCATGATAAGGCAAACATACATATAAATGTATCTCATCCTTTTCCCCCATTTCCCTTTCCATAGTCTCATGACTCAAAAGGAATTAAACTATGATTTATTGTAACCTAAAGGCATGGTAAACTCTTTGCAACCAATAAATCAGGCAATTTAATAACTGAATCCGGCTCCTGCTTCTTTTCAACAACCAAAAGCACAAGTCTTTACCAATAAAAATCAGCGTTATACTAAATGTCTAGTTAAAGATTTCAGCTGCACAGGCAGAGCAGGGCAGATGTGGGTGACTCAGAGGTCTTTAGTAGAGAAGCAGCAGTGGCACATTGAGCCACATCAGACCATGGAAGAAATACAGAAAGGATGTTCACACATGCACGGATACACATGCACAGTAATCTGAGCAGCAGAGTATCATCAGCGTAACCACATCCTCTGCCTCAGTGTGGAGAGGAGGAACCTGACACCCATTCGCTCTGTATGAAAACTCCCTAGTCATCACTAAAATGGGAAGGAATATCAACATTTAATATGCACAAGGGGACTGTAAAGGTCATAGCAGGGGCCAAAGATTAAGGGAAAATCACACAAATTCTCGCAGGGGGAATGGACTTGAAGCTTGAATACTTATTAACAATCTTTTATGGTGCCAATTTACCTTTCTCTCCTCTTCCAAAGTACTTTTTTTCACACCATCCTATACATTCATTTTAATAGGCACATGCAGTTGTGTTTTACCTTAACCACCAATATGTAATATTATACCTTTATGACAACCAATTACTAAAGATTCCCATGAAGCAATATGTGTACTGTATGTATGCAATTATTTAGTGATTGGAATTGTTGTGCCCCGACAGTTTCAAAATGCAATTCACTCATACTGTACACTGCTGTCGTAGATATGTATGTTACACATGCATTCGTTAGGATTACATTACTTATCAAAAACGAGCAAGTCGACAAGTTTGCCGACACAGCCAAACATCAAGCAAGTTCAGCAACACAAGACATAGCAAGGCACCTAATCTAAAGCCTTTTCATATATATTTTTGACATGTTCAAGTAACTCAAACATTACCAATGTCTCTATTCAGCAAGCAATGACAGGGGAGCAACGTACACAATATCCTGAAACCAAAGCAACTAAATGGAATGGAACCATCCTTAATTGTAGGCATAATAGCTTTTCTTTAATCCTGCTGACAAACAGAAAAAAAGGTAACCAAACACAAAACACTAGAAGGTCTAACCCTATCATTCAATGTTAACGAAAGGTGAAAACAATTTGTGTTTCCGCCCCATCATTTGGATCCTAACCAATAATTATTTGTTCCATACACCCGTTCACCAATTTTCTTAAAAACCAGCCAGTAAAGTATTTTGGAGTTCTGACACTTACAAACTAAAAATGTAACCTTTTTTTTATTTTGTCCGAGAAAAAACCCACTTTTTGAAATCCCCCTGTGACTTGTCTGCCAGCTGGGTCCCTCACAATGTCACTTTTTCGCCTTTCTTTGATCAAAGTCAATGGCATGATATAGTGGAGCAGAAGAGAGGGGTGGTAGAGGCTCAGGAGGTAGAGTGGTCGTCCACCAATCAGAAGGTCTGTGACTTGATCTCCTGTCCAGTCAAGATGCCAAAGTGTACTAGGGGGAGATGACTTGACCAACAGTGTGTGAGTGTGTATGTCCCTGAGCAGGTGCACCTTGTACGGCAGCCTCTACCTCTATGCATGTGTGTGAATTCTGACTTGTTAATGTAAAAGCATATAAAGGAGTCACAATGACTTGAAAAACGTTATATAAATGTACAATTTCTACCTATACATTTGATTTGAATATGAATGGTTTTTCAGATTTGAATTCAGGCTTTTAATAAAACACAGACAGACAGATCAGCAGGTATGAAAACAGAGCAGTGCCACTCTGCATTATACGACCACTAGCAATCAATCGGGCACAATAAGAGCAGCCTTTTATCAGGAAAATATCAAAGACTCAGATTCCATTAAAACAGCCTTTATGATTGATGTCACTTATGAGCCGGCAGCGCGGCCTGTATCGGGGGCGATGCTGCCACCTGTGCGCGCCATGCAGCAGTGCGTCTGGAGATCCGCTGTAACGCGCTACCGCAGCCAGGGGGCGCACTCATGTCACTAACCCCCCTCTCTCTCTCTCTCTCTCTCTCTCCCTCTCTCCCCCTCTCTCTACCAGGGGATGCCGGAGTCAAACCGCAGCTCTCCTCTCATTCATGCTGAGCGCTGCTCTCCAGTGCGCACGGATCTGCAGAGCTGAGCTTCGGTACCGGTGCTGCTCTCTGACAAGTCCTCCGGGAATGGAAATGTCTTCTGTTGCAACTTTGACTTCCTAAAATAATTTTCAAAATGCTAAGCAGAACGAACTCGAAGGGCGCTTTGAACAGTAAGTACAGCCAAACTTTTTGTGGTTGTTAATCATCTCTCTCCTCTCGTCTTGGAGCTTTTTTCACCCCCGCTACATCCGAAATGTTGGTGACATTCCTCGCCTTTTCCTACCCTTTCCCTTCCCTCCCTTCTCTTTCATCCCGTCTTCGTCTCTAACATGAACACACATGAAGCAGTTTTTGCTGCGGGAGAAATTCGGCTTTCTGTTGGTTAATGTCTGCGCTTCGGAACATCGCATGGCTCGCTTTGCGCACACATGCAGAAGCAGCCAGGCGCAAGAGGAGGTTGCGGGTAAACCATCTCCGGAATGATTCAACATCCCATCTTTTTTGGAGTTGTTGAAGGTGAAGGATTGTCTTACTTCACCGGCAAGGAACTGCAGATTTTGGATGCGAAGTGGCAAGATGAATAGGCTGATAGTGTGTGAGCTCCACGGGGGTGTTTTCTCTCCCACATGCTCGAGCTTTAATGTGTATTATAGGAATGTTGTTGCGATGGCATACTGTGATGCCAGTTTGGGATTTGCAGCTGTGGTGGTTTAATGTGAGGATTTTTGGCTGATAAATAGGATTATCCCAGTATGAATACAAGCATCGCTGCATCTGCGCCCAAGACTCGAATTGAACTTGAAACACACTCTTTGCGTTCACTGTACGCGTGCATGATGTGCTCATATATCAATGTATGCATGCATGCGGACTTTTATGCAGTGAGACCATTAGTGTGTGTACATGTGTGTACATGTATATAGCTGTGTGCGTAATTGTGCTTGCTTTATATGCAACATGTAAATGTTTAGATGCTTGTGTATGTTGTTGACCTGTTTGTGAGTGTGTGTGTGTGTGTGTGTGTATGTGTGTGTGTGTGTGTGTGTGTGTGTGTGTGTGTGTGTGTGTGTGTGAGTGTGTGTGTGTGTGTATGTGTATGTGTATGTGTGTGTGTGCACATTTGCATGTTCCCTCACCCACCCACACGTAAACACACACACACACAGCTTCATCATTTTGGAGTGACATCAACATGCTCTGGCAGTTTTGTGTCACCTTATGCATTTTTGACTTAAAATGCGTAGGTGAGACGGGCTGATTCTGACTACGGGCACCAAGCCACCGGTTTGGCTGCCAAAGCACATAGAACAAATATTCTCTAAAGGTTGTGTGTATGTGAGAGGCAGAAGAGAGAGTCTTCTCTTTGCATGTTCTGGATCTGCTCTCATCTCCCCCTCTCTCCCTTCTTATCTCTCTCCAGGGTGAACTTGTAAGGATGAGTGTGCGTGAGAGAGGGATGATGTGGGAGCTATGGAGGAGATGCAAAGAGATGTATGGGGGAAGAAATACTTTTCCCCCATCTCTCTTTGAGTGTCATGATGTGCCTGAGCTGGGTGGCGTTGATAAGACTGAAACCCTGAACATCACCTCCACTTTGGGGCTGAGCGTGACATCCAATGTGACTGCATGCATGGTTCTAAAAGCAACATAACGACCGTGGAACATATCAGTCCCTGTTACACACTCCTGCACACACACAGTGTTTTTAAGAGGTTTGAGCCCTGAAATGAGTCAGAATCAGCATGTGCTTTGAGCTGCCTGTAACCTAATTACCTAGTTTATTCTTGGAATCCTTTATTATTAATTTGTTCTTAGAGGAGATGATCCTCTCTATGCTACCTTTCTATGTATTAGCATTCTGCGGGCGCCGTAACCGGAGTTCAGTCATTTCTAAAGGAAGTTCTTCCATGTCACCTCCCTAATGATAACAGTGTGATCACATATTTAAAGTAACTATTATACTTTCTTGTAGTTTGAAAAAAAATCTTCAATAGCTAAGACTATAATTTAGTTATATGAGCTCTAATGTCTTTGTGGTAGTGATAGTTGATGTTTTATTGCAATTGTATGTGTTTTTTTTCTGAAATGGAACCTGTGATGTATCAATATCCTAAAGTGTACTGTCATTATTGACAAAAAGGCTGCCCGCTCTTAGTTGTTTAGTCGAACAATCGGTCATTTTGGTCTTAGTCGACCAAGACTTGCTAATTGTATTATTCTTTTGCTAATGCTGGTCAAAAACAGTATTCAAAGGCGAGCTTTTGCATATTTCTTTTGGGAGAAAAAGAGTTTTGCAAGATGCTATTTATCTTACTGTTGACTGAAATCGATTCCATTACATTATAAGGGAGATTGGCTACAACACCAACCGCTACAGCAAGTGTGTGCGTGCGTGCGTGCGTGTGTGTGTGTGTGTGTGTGTGTGTGTGTGTGTGTGTGTGTGTGTGTGTGTGTGTGTGTGTGTGTGTGTGTGTGCGTGGCTCAGCTGGGTGTGGGCCGTGGTGGCAGTGGCTAAGGCCTGAGCTGAGGGCTGCAGACGGTCGGGGGTGCACCCTGCGGTCTGTCTGCGTCGAGCCGCTTCAAACCTCAAGTGCCTGTAATAAATACACCCAGGAGGAGGGATGGCAAGAGAATAAGAATGAAGCAGATTGATCAAGCAGTTTTTTGACTCGTTCCACTTGTGAAACACCTAGAGAAGGTTGTGTTATCCTAACACGTCAATAGGAAGTGTAAGTGCATTTAGCTGGGGTTTTTATTCATAGTGCCTTCAGAGTCTACATTTAAATGCTGTACGGGCGTCCCCAGCGGGAGCTGAAGCGCAGACCCAGCAGAGCTGCAGCCAGCTCCGTCTATTGAGCGGCTGACGACTATACTGCCAAGTAAGCTGATATTACATGGCAAAATACCAGTTTGAATCACACGTGCAACATTAATTGTTTGAACTGCTTTTTGAGGTACATTATCTGATTAGCTTCGACCAGCATGTAGATCAAATAACAGAGATGAGAGTAATCGGTTGAAACAGTCCTATATATACTCTGTTGTAACCAAAAGGCGTGTGTCGGTTTTCCTATTTTCCTCTTCTGACTATATCAATATGTCAGTCATTTCAGTAAGGAGAGATCTTTCTTAAAATGAATCCAATATTTATTGGAAATGCAATGGTTTACAAATGTCCAGGAAGATGAGAAATGTGACTGTACTTCCTTCGGATATGTGGGAGTGATTGTGGGTTCTGAAAGTCAGAACGTCACAATGACATTTAAAGGAACACAAGTAATACAACAAATGGATAACACAGTTGAGACTTGAGGATGTTCAGCCCATTCACTTCAGCTCATCAACAGTTTTCTTTGATTGTTTGTTCATAATGGAGGCACAAACACAATTGTTCTTCAAGAAATGCAAGTAACATGGGGTTAGTCATTGTTATACAGTTTTGGAAGGAAGTATTTCTTGTGAAGAGCAGTATCGAGCAAATGGTTTGAACGCAGGCAGAAAGATGAGTGTGGATCGGATAATTGAAGAGTCTTCACCTCATGTAGTGTGTAATTAACAGCCTTTTCTTTCTTTTGTTATATTGTCGCCAACATGAGACAACAGATGAACCGTGTTCTTTTTGCCTCCTTTTTTTCTAATGAGTGACAAAATGTTTACAACTCCCAAATTCTGTCTGAACAGAAAAGACGGAGGAAATGGATGAGAGAAATAGGATGAGAGCAAAAGAGAGCGCGGTGGAGGGAGAGCGATGGAGCGATGGAGCTTTTAAGTTCCCGGCACCTTTTGATGCAGCCTCCGCAGTGAAAGGCCAAGGCAGATCAAACGGGGAAGGCAGATTGAAATAGTTTCTCTTGTAAAGGGGACGAGACGCTCCGACTCTGCACAGATGTGACAGCTAACCGCCAGACGCAGGTGGCAGCCACTTTTACTCGGTGAATGATTGCAAACACTTGGCTTCCCGACTTGCGAGGAGCTTTGTGATTGTCGTTAGCATCCGCGTTTGGTATTTTTCAAGGGAGACCAACGTCTTGTGATGGGTGGGGGAATTATTTCCTATCTTAGTGTGAGCAAGGATCATTCTGCCGTTGTTTTGTCAGCAATTAAAATAATTCCAGCAACCCATTTTCTTGTGCTGCTGCAGAACATACAGCTTGTGTTTGTTCTCCCAAATGGCCAATTTCTGCCTTATGTTCTGCACTGTCTGAACAGTTGAGGCAGCAAAATAATCTGTGTGTGTAAGTGTGTGTGTATGTATAGCAGAACATACCCACATTACTGAACTTGTCTGCGTTTCCTGTGCCACTGCAACATTAGCCGGATCCCAATAGTTCTCAGACGTGCAGACACACACACTCGGACATCCTCCCTTTACCCTCCATCTTTCCTTGTTTATATTTAGCTTGGGGCCAAGGTCAAATTTAGAGAGCTTCCTCCTTGTTATTTCCATACATGGCTTTCAGATGCAGATCTCTTATCTTGTCTGTAGTGGTGGTTAGACTTTCCCAGGCCATGGGGAGGAGCAGGAGGGAAATGAAAAGGTGGACAGAGAGATGGATAAGGTGATACTGCCCGGCCTTCAAGGCATCTTACACTTTCAAATGTGGCCTTACAGCTTCAGGAAGGGTTATACCATGAAAGAAGCCAAAGGAAACATTTTCAAAAACTGAATTCCAAGGGTTTCTGAGAGGACAAGGTTTCCACTTTCTTGTTCCTCTGGATTTCTCCCCCCGGGCGAGCCCATGCTAAACACTTTGAGGGTAAAGTACGCTTGACACCAAAGGTATAAAAGAGGCAAAAGATCTAACACAGCCCAGCTTTCTCTGGAGCCCTTGCTCAACAGCATTCATGAAGCAGTTTGAGGTTTGTCAACTGAAATAACATGGCTGACACTGGAAATTCGAGCAAAAAAAGAGTTTGTAGAAATCGGTAGGGATGGAATCCACTTTCGCATTGCAGCACACATGGAAGAGATAGTAAAAAAGAAGGAAGAATGAGGGATTTCAGAGCTCCAAATCAGGGAGAGTAGGCATAAGGCCTCTGAAGCTGAGCGGTAGGTTGAATTGGTCATATGTGCATTCTCAGTTATCTGGGCTTGCATACTGCAGAAGGGAAGGGAATACATGGGATGAAAGAGTAGGAAGAAATTGGAAAATGTACGGGCATGGAGGTC